GATTCGTGTGATTGATGTGCTTGTAAGTGATGTGTGTGCTAGGGTAGTATACTTTGTGTTTGCTGCCTGTTTGATACGTGTGCGAGCTCCGTGAAAAGTGCAGGTGTCGTTAGGCGATGATGAAAGTCCTCCGGTCCCTCAAGGTGTCCGGTATTCGGTGGTGGGCCAAATCGGTGGAGAAATGTTAGGATATTTGGCCCAAAAACCAAATCCTTATCTCAGGCCCAAGGACATCTCGGCCCAATCCCGTCTGGGCCTGGCCCTCACACTCACTTATTGGCAGGACTAATATGGACCGTTGGATTTAGGGATTAAATCCCAACCATTCTTTCGGTCCATATATATACCCTCTCCCCTCTCATTTGCCCTAACCTAATCTCACTCCACACTCTCTCGCTGCTGCGCCCTTTCTCTCTCTGTGAGTGAAAAATCCCGATCTCTCTCTATTCTCTCACCATCTGTTCTTCGTGACCTCCCTTGTGAGAGCCACTGTGAGTGACGCCGTGTGAGCCACCGGAGTGCCGCCGCTGAGCCACCGCTGTCGCCTCCTCCTCTCTTCGGCCACAGGCCCTTTGTGGTGCCTCGGGTGATTCCGTGTGCGGTGGAGAGGGCTTGGCGACGGGGCTAGGCTGAGGTTTGGCGTGTGTGTGAGGTGCAGCCCGGGGAACGGGCCGAGGAACCGGGGCCGCCGTTCTTTGACCACAACCGAGCCGCGACTTACCGAGGGTGCCGGAAAGAAGGACGATCTGAGCCGGGAGAGACGACTTCGTGTCACTCTTCTCCAGTCGCCGGTCAAAGGGAGTCTTTCGTTCCTCTTTCTTTCATTTTCTTATTTTTCAGCTATTACTCTTGATTTGTTCTTGTTAAAGACGCTGAAATTAGTACCTGTAATCACCATCACTTTGTGTGTATGCTTTCAGATTGAATCAGGTTGAAACGGGCTAAGTTTGGGTGCTTAAAGAAGCTGTGTGAATCAGCCCGGGAGGTCGGACAGCAGCTCGGGAGCCCACTGTACACGAGCAGCACCTCTGAGGGTTAGNTACCTGTAATCACCATTACTTTGTGTGTTTGCTTTCAGATTGATTCGGGCTAAAATCGGGCTGTGAAAGAAAGAGCTGGGATCAGCCCAGAGCAAACGAAGGCTGTCTGGGAGTCCACTGGACACGAGCAGCATCTCCGGGAGACCTATAAGGGGCTGCAAGCAGTTAGACGAGCTCAAGACAAGCTTCCGCTGCCAATGAGTCGATCGGTGGAATCGGGATGGCCACACAACAGTGGTATCAGAGTGTGAGCCGTCCCGCCACTACATAGGTAAGTCGAGCACCTAACACGTAGGACTCGCTCAGGTATATTAGCTTGGACTTGGACTTTTACCGCTTTCGTAGTTGTAGCCCCTGGCCGGGGATTGCCTGTGGTAGACTTGGACTTATACATTAACTAAAAAAATGAGCGGAAATTTTTTTGTTTTGCATTAATTGGATAGCCTACAAATATATATATATATATATATATATAGGGTAGGGTTCTAATAAGAACCTTTCTTAGTGTAAGAACTAGGAACCAACTACAACCGTTCATTCTAGCATGTTAGACGGTGTGGATTAGGCTATATTAAACTAGCAACAAAATTACAAAAATTAATTTATTAATAGTTGCAGGGTAAATTAGGAACAATATAGACTCTTGAGATTTCTTGTATTATAATAAATGTGGATTTTAGGGAAACTGAATAGTCACAAAGAAGGCAACTCTATCAATCAAGCAAAACAATATGACAAAGAAAATCCTAATTCATGTTCACGGCTACGATTGCATATTCTTCTTGAGAAAAAAAATAAGAAAAAAGAAAAAAATAGCATATATACTAAAGCGGTGCGAGACGACGGCAGCCGTGACAAGGTTTCGAGCAGGAATTTCATCGCCGGACGCGTGTTGTAGTAAAGAACAAGTGGGACACCGGTAGACGCGTGAAAGGTGTGCGTTTTTAACATTTCATTGATGCTACATATTTTATTCAAATGTGCTGCTTTTATTCTGAGAAGATATAATTTTAGTTTGTCATTGTGTTATGTTTGTTTTTAATAAATCTCTGTTTATTCTTTTGTTAAACTTATTCGTAGTCATTCTTTTGTTCTATAGTCTGCTAATAATGTAAGTTTCAAATTTGTGTTAATTTCTTTTGTTCAAAGGAATATGCAATACTGTAAGTATGCGTAATNATAGCAGTTGCATTGGCTCAGAAAAATTGAAATTTTTTACAGTCATATTTGGGAAAAGAGCACATTTAGTTTCTTAATTTTAGCGAAGTTTATTTTTTATGCCTCTGGTTTTATTCGAATTTGTTGCGTTTATTCTGAGGAGATTAAATTTAAGTTTGTTAACAAGATATTCACTAAGCACGTCTTTAAGAAAATCCAAACATTTTCCATTACTCTCTGAAGCTTAGTATTTTATATATATATATATATAATTTTTTTTTTAATGAATGCTTAGAAATTAAACTTCATCTTCTGTTTTAGAAAAAGTTAGTGCTTCCTTTAATGGTGATATGTAGGACATGTGCAGAAAATCATAATATTTTGTTTTGTTTGTATTTGAAGTAATTTTTGCTTGATTAACAATTTGAGAGTGGTGCAGTTAGTATGTAGTATATGCTTCGTGTTGCATTCTATTGTGCTAATTATATGGCAACTTGTTGCAATTTATTATTTTCTATGAACTTTATGTTTTAGAAATTTGAAATTTTTGAAATTAGGCCAATATAAAAATAATAAAATACAAATATTGATATTTATATCTGCATCTTTTCATTATATTTTGTTAACTCGTTGAACATTAGCATATAGAATATGCTACTTTTGCATTCTATTGTGCTAATTATATGGCAACTTGTTGCAACTTATTATTTTTTATCAACTTTATGTTTTAGAAATTTAAAATTTAGGCCAATATAAAAATAATAAAATACAAATATTGATATTTATATTTGTGTCCTTTCATAATATTTTGTTATGTTCAACTCGTTGAACATTAGCATATAGAATATGCTACTTTTGCATTCTATTGTGCTATTTATATGGCAACTTGTTGCAACTTATTATTTTTTATGAACTTTATGTTTTAGAAATTTGAAATTTAGGCCAATATAAAAGTAATAAAATATAAATATTGATATTTATATCTGCATCCTTTCATAATATTATATTATTTTCAACTCGTTGAACATTAGCATGTAGAATATGCTACTTTTGCATTGTATATAGAATATAATTTCAGCTTGTTGAACACTATGAGATTGATGATATTAGTATATACAATATGCTACTTTTGTACTGTATTGTGCTAATGTTATGTCAAGTTGTTGCATATGACCTTTTTAGATAAACTTTAATTCTTTAGAAATACTAAAACCTTGTACCCAAAATCATCACCAGGTTAGGAACAGCCTCGACCGCCCTTAGCAAAGGTGCATCAACAATTTTATGTTATTAGTTCTTATATACTGGGAGTTAATTCTTTCACTGCATCCAAAAACATTATATAACATTAGAAGGGGAACAAAATCATTATTAAAATGTATATAAAAAGGTTTCAGCAGGTTGAATCCCACGTTTCTCAGTTGCCACCTTTTTTTCTTTTTTTCTTTTTTTTTTTTTATTTGTTTGGCGAAATACTTGTAGTCAAACTGTCAACATTTAATCTATAAATGTTAAACTTTATCGATATTGTATAGACTTGCGATGTATCAATTTTTTGATAAATGTTGCTTTTAATTTAACAAATATGGGCTATTTTGAATATATGAACGTGCTAAGTTATATTTGTGATATTGCTATTTATTAGATGTGCTTCAATTATAACACTTTATGTTTTTATGTTTATCTATTCAATATAATGTTGCTTCGTGGATATTTTTTACCTCTAAAATGTTGGTAATATGAATAAAATTATATTTGAGATATTTTGTATTCACTTATGCTAGATTTTGCCCTACATGAAGCAATAAACTTTATGAATTTATTCTTGAACACATGTTATTTCTAAATTTTTGCGAAGGTGATTCAATGGTGAACTACAAGCATCATGGTGAACCATATGTAGCTGAAGAAATTATGAATGAAGCCAATGACACAGAAGTTGAAACTGTGGGTGGTGGTGCAACATAAGAACTTAATAATGTCGAAAGTGGAGATGAGTCGGATAGTGATTATTCGGAGAATGATGAGGAACAACAGGCTTACAATAAACTCAAAAGCAGAACTTGCCCCCAGGTGTTGGTTAGTTCCTGCAAGAAAATGAATGTCGCACAGAAAAGAGCAATTAATGAGATTGGCTTTGGAAGTATATTCCATCTAAGTGTGTACAAATTACCAAGGAAATTGGGATACTGGTTGCTAGACAATTTTCAGCCCAAGACATGTGAGATAAAGCTACAAAATGGACATAGTGTGCATATTGAATCTAAAGATGTAGCATTGGTCTTAGGGTTTCCAAATGGTGAGCGTGCTATACAAAAGAAAAGAAAACACGAACAATGCTCATTACTTGAAGAGTGGGGTGGGAAATTCGTAAAAGACAAGAAGAAAATTCTTCCCACTGATGTTTCAGCTCAAATGTTGTCCAATAAGGATGGGGGCTTATGGTTCATTCGACATTTTTTGGTTCTTCTCACCTCATGTTTGATAGAGACATCAGGAACTGGATATATTTTACCTCAAATAATGTCCCACTTCAGCAATACAAGTGCAGCCCGACATCTCAATTGGTGTGACTATGTGTTGGAGTGCTTGGTTAACCATCACTTAACTTGGGCAAAAAACAAGAAAAAAAGTTTCAATGGGCCGATTTTTTTTCTGATGGTACGTCTCTTACTTTATTAGTATGTAATATAAACAATAAACGACATTGATAAATATTAAAATTGACATGTTTTTAACTCTTATTAGGTGTATGGTATTAGTTAAAACTAATATTAACAAGTTTTTTATTATTGTAGCACTACTTTTAATGAAACAATAATTGTTAATAAATGCTTTTTATAATGCAGATGTTCTATGTTGATCGGGTTGTCATTTACAAAAGAATTGTACCTAGAGGTTTGCCATTGGTAAGAGGGTGGACAAACAAATTACTACGAGACAGGCAAAAGACAGAAATTAGATCTGGCGGATTCGGGGGTGGGTACCCATTTGATCAACACAAATCAAATGAAGGCTCGGTCTATGAAAATGTTGAGTTTGCTCAAAATTCATCATTTGCACTGGTGGAAGAAGCTCCAAATACCCAGCTTGATGGCAATACCAATTCATATGCAGCTGAAACATTTATGTCGGAATTTTTAAGAAAAAGCAAGATGGTTGCCGTTGCAATAGTTGACATGTTGAGGTTGGTCGAGCAGGCACCTCATAAACTGAGTGAACACTCTGGCTATAAGAGGGTGGTTGACACAACAAAATCATTGTTGGGTTGCAGACCAACTGAAAATAACTTGCATAATGGTGCGGAACCATCTCTATCGCAGAACCAAGGCACACAGTTAGATGATGCATTCTGGAGCGACCCAGAAACATTAGCCATAATTGAAGAAATAGAGAATGCAATCATGAAAAGAGGTGAATTCAATAAATCTGCGGATGACATACCAAGTTTCAGCCTGGGCTTGACTCAAGAATTTGCTGATAAGATCGATGAGGTTGTCACAAAAAATGATCAGCCATCCACATTGATTCCACCACAAGTGATCTCAACGAGTATGCAATCCACAGAGAAAAAAACACCAAAAGGCATGATTGCAGATCAGAAAAACATGGTAAAGATCAACATGTACTATGAATAATATTTTCAATTTATAATTTTGATCATAATTCATGCTAGCATATCTATGAGGTAAATGGACACCAATTTAAGTATTCTGCAATATATTTACGGCGCTATTAAATGTTATGTATTATGCATCTTTTAAGTTTATTATGCTATCTGTACCTGAATTGTTTCTAAGCAACATCATTATATATATAAAATATTGTGTTGGCAAAAAACATCAACTTTTGTGGGATGTTGAATCATATTTTGTTAAAATTGTCAGCATGATTTGGTTAATTTGTTAGATATAGCACAACATGTTAGTTATAATAAGTAAAGTATTGGTGAATGCATACGAGTGATAATCAATATTATGGCAAGTACGAAAGGTGTTAAGTGCTAGTATTTATTGATAATTATGAGATATTTGTGGCTTAGGCTGTAAAGTCTTGTTGCTAATATTTATTAATAGTTGTGCTATAATTTTTTAATGTTGTACAAAGTTAATTGTGCTATATTTTTGTCTCAGCATGTGCAGGAAACTGATAAGAGTGATAGCCCTATAGTAGTGTTTTCAGAAGAAATATTCCTACCAAATGGTCAGTCCCTAAATCAAAAAAATAAGAGAAAGAGGGAACAGGTTATTATTATTTATACTTTTATGAGTATTATTCTAATAAATGTCTTGGTGCATGCAAATAATTTTAAATGTCTAATTTCGTGCAGCTTGAACACGAGAAATGGAAATTGATATGCAGTCCACCTTTTGGTACTACTGAGCCTGCGACCGGTAGTGGCAAACAAAAGAAGAAAGTAACATTTCTTGAAAAGTCTTACCAACAAACATCCAAAGGAAATGAACAACAGGTAACCGAGATGAAACTTTTTAATCACTAATTTTATATCTATTTGGTCCTGGTATATGAAATGAGAAGGGCGAAGTTTAATAGATCACAAGGAAACATTGATGCTATCTTTACTTGCGTATAGTGTTAATTTTAACATCACATAGTGCTATCTTGGTCTTTGCATAGTCTTGTTTCTAATATTTGTTGATAGTTGTGCTATATTTTGTCTAATACTGTACATATTTCGTTGCAAGTATATATTATTAATTTTGCTATATTTGTGGCTAAGGATGTGCGGGAAAATGATAATAGTGATAGCAGTCCACCTTTTGGTACTAGTGAGCATGCGATAGATAATGGCAAGCAAAAAAAGAAAGTAACATTTCTTGAAACGCCTAGCCAACAAACATCCAAAGGAAAGGAACAACAGGTAACCGAGATGAAATTTTTTAATCACAAATTTTATATCTATATTGTCCTGGTATATGAAATGAGAAGGGCGAAGTTTAATAGATCATGAGCAGCCATTGATGCTATCTTACTTGCGTATAGTGTTAATGTTAGCATCACGTGGTGTTATCTTTGTTTGTACATAGTCTTGTTTCTAATATTTGTTGATAGTTGTGGTATATTTTGTCTATTGTTGTACATATTTCGTTGCAAGTATTTATTGTTAATTGTGCAATATTTGTGGCTAAGGTTGTGTGGGAAAATGATAATAGTGATAGCCCTATTGTAATGTTCTCAGAACAAGTTTTTCTAACAGTGCAGTCCATAGATCAAACAAATAAGGGACAGATAAAGCAGGTAGTTATCCTCAAAATTTTTATGAGTATTATTCTAATAATTTTCTCGGTGCATGAAAATAATTTTATAGATTTCTATGATCGTGCATCCTGAACACGAGAATCATTCATTTATGCGGGGTTGTCACAATAGCAAAGGGGAATGGAAATTGATATGCAGTCCACCTACTAGTACTAGTGAGCCAGATAATGTCAAAGAAATGAAGGGATTAACTTTTCGTGATACGATTGAGCAACAAAAACTCAAAGGAAAGGAAAAACAGGTATTTGAGATGATATTTTTTTATTTTTAATTTTATTGTCCTGGCATAATAGATATGAAAAAAAGGCACACTAAATGCATATATAATTAGCATTGTACACTGAAAAAAACAGCGCTATTAGTTTCTTCCACCTATGCTTAATGATTGTTTGAAGCATTCCAAAAATTTAATTGAAATTGTAAATTTGATCTCAGGAAATGTTACCTCCAACCAACCACTGTATGGAGCGCCGAAATAAAAAAGATGTAAGAAAAAGCGAGAGGCTGTTATCACCATACCATACCCGTGTGCTAGCAGCGACATCTAAATTCAACAAAAATGAGAGAGATTTATGCTTCTGGATTTTGGACGACATGGATAAAATGTATACTCCGAAACTTGACATTCTGATTTACACCATACATATGTGATTAATTATTAACCATTCAACATATCTGATTACAGGGAAGAAGCAGTATTCTCAAGTGGTCACATTGAGTGTTTGAGACGTGAGTTATTATCAATTAGACCATCACTATTTGTGAGCACTACTGTTGTAGATGTCTGGGCAACTGTTTTGAATAACCTGGAGTTGTTAAGGTCACATGGCTCGCCACTAAGATTCTTTTTTACAGTCGATACTTGTGTAAGTTTTTATGTTAAGTTTTACTTAAAGTTGATATGTTACCAGTGCAATCATTGAGTAACTATCTATTAAAAAAAATTATCAAATCTATTGATAGGCTTTCACTATCGTGAACCCAACAAAGGACTGGAGCATCGGAGTGAGACGTATCATGTTTAATGACTGTATGACAGAACAACTACAAAGAGCAGGCCAGCAACTTGAGAACATTGACATAGTATGAACTCAACTCATGCTTATCTACTATTGTAATAAAGTAAAAATTTGACATTCTATTTGTGAATAAAATGCAGCTTTTTTTTCCGATACACCATGAAGAGCATTGCTACATCATGTGCCTGAATGTGAAGAAATTGAACATTGTGTTGATTGACAACTCAACTTCTACAATGAATGGTGCTATTGAGGTCAAGTACTCTGATATACCAAGTACACTGGTAAACAAAAATATGTGATTAGACCTTGTAACTTTTTGTACTTATTTATTAGTTGTCTACTTATAATTTGTAAATTAAATAATTTCAATCACAGGTTATGATGGTCTGTGAATATTTGGAGTTGAAGGGGTTACTGATCAAATCTGTTGCCCTAAAAAAAGCAAAGATTGAAAGATTGCAACTCCCTTGGGCGACAGATAATAATCAAACTGATTGCAGAGTTTACGTCATGCGCCACATGGAGACCTACATGGGAGATAGCGTCAAGAAGTGAAAAGTTGGGTTGAGAAAGAATAGTGCAAACCAACTGAAGTACTTAAGAGCGAAGTACTGCGCTGCGATATTGTCAGCTGATATCAACATTCATAAGGAACACAACTTGTATGCAGCAGATTTGCACTATCGACTCTCAAAATCTAGGGGTTCAATAGATGTTGAGAAGTTGTGGGTCGGTCAGGCACATAATGAGCAGTGACCTTAATTCTACTCTTCTAGTATCTACTGAACAATTGTTTTGATTATTGGTATTATTTTGCATCTACTACATTAGACTGACTGATTCGTGCGTTGTTTAAATTCATGGTAGTATTTTATTATTTTTAAAACTTTTGAATACATGCATTTTGTTTTTTATTTGTTAAAGAATGATTTGTTAATACAAATGAAAATTGTATCATAAGAAAATGATAATATAGCAGGTAGTTTAATAAAAATATAATAGTGTGCCATCTCCCAACATTATTACATTTGAGGCTAAAGAACTATCTTAACATGCTATCAACCATTCATTTAATTGCTAATAATTGTTTTAATATTGCTAATTTCATTTCTAGTTGGCATGATACTATCAATTGTACCACATACGAGCAGATAATATGATTTTGTTTATTTTAAAATACACCATAAATGTGAGCAGTCAACATATAGACAATATATATTAGCTGGAGAAAAAAACCAGCATTCAAGTTGTGTTCATTATCATTATATGGATTGCAATGGTTGTAGAAAAAAATTCTTCATATGCACCAACAGTAGCACTTTCAAACAAAAGCAGATACACAAGTATACCAATAAAACGAGTAAAAAATGCCCTTTTTCATGACATAAAAAATATACTGCTAAACAAGAAAAAAGGCTCCTTTTCTTAAATATGATGTCATAGTTATCATTTTTTCGTCCAGTGCAGCTGCCATCCCTTCGGGAGCCCAACAAGAGATGCGAAAACCAAAACTAACCTTCATTAGTCTGGGCATTGGTGGCAACAAGGTCAAAATCTGTACCTCTGCCCAAATGCTTTAATTGAAATATTTTTTCTTTCAATTGCCAACTGAATCATAATCTTTAGCACTTTTGAATTTATAATAAACAGCCATATTTTTCACCTTTTTCTGTATATATTTCTTTTCTTTCTCTTCCAGAGAGAAATAGCCACAAACAGAATAAAGGCTGTTAAATGACACAAAATGAAAGACCTGACTTTCAATTTCTAAAACAAGTAGCACAATAATATTAACAAAAGTACAATGAAACAAAATAAGTTTCTTTTTTTTTTTTCCTTCTTCTTCTTTTTTCTTTACTGCAATTGCTCAAGAATAATATCAAACCGATCAATGGCCTTCTAATTGCTCAAAGACTGCAAAAATTTCAACTTCTACGACATTTGCTCAGATTTTCTCATATGGAGTTGATCGTTTGGATCCAAATTGCAAACTCAGCCGAACAACCAGAAATTCCACCAGCCAACATCAACTACAACCACCAGAAATTTCTCTATACAAAATAATTCTCTTGACAAGTAAAAATGAAGATACACACTACGAAATAATTCTCATAATCGAGAAAAGTACAATTGGGTTTTCAGGCTCAACAATTCACTTATGTAATTCGATCCTCCACAACTTTCTTCGCAGAACGAATTAGCCTCCAGTCAGGCGCAATTTGACGCTACAAGACTATCTTAACCAATTATATAATGTAAAATGATGCTATCAACTATTTATTTTGCTGCTACTAATGGTATTTAATATTGCTAAATAACGAGAAACTCAGCTGTTATAAAAAAAAAAATCTACATACATTGCAAATCAAAATCATGAAAAAAGAAACACAATGCGAAATATATTCTTAAAAAAAAAGAGTACATCAAGTATCATGTATCAACTGACAAATTTATCACAATTTCTAGCATCATGGCTAGTGCTGCAAACGAACCGAACGTTCGCGAACGAAAGCTCGTTCGAGCTCGTTCGTGTTCGTTTAAAGCTCGTTCGTTTAACAATCGAGCCGAGCTCGAACATGAAATTGAGCTCGTTTATTATTCGAACGAACACGAACATGTTCGCGAACATAATCGAGTGTTCGCGAACATAATAATAATAATAAAATAATAATAATACTAATAATAATAAAGTAAATAACTAATATTAATAATATAATATGCACTTACACATTTACTCTCAGTCTCTATATACTCATTTTCGACATTTTTGAGGCAGAAACCCTATCTCAACTCTCTGTCTCTCTCCCTCGCCAAAATCGCCATCGCCGCACCCACCCGATCCCGTCGGCCCGTCGTCCTCAAGTAGTTTTCCGGCAATCTGCTCCACGCTCGCCCTCAAGCAGTCAAGTTGTTCAACTCAAGGCTCGGGAACTGCTCCACCCTCGCTCGCTCTCGTTCACGGCCAGAGATCTGCTCCACGCCTCCACCCTCGCCCTCGTTCACGGCCTGAGATCTGCTCCACCCTCGCCCTCAACTCAAGCTTGACGAAGATCTACTTCTTCCTCCTTAGTTCCTTACATCTTGAAGCCTGGGACGCTGCTTCAATAAGGACCACACGGATACCGCCATTAGTTGTAAGTTAAATTTGGGCCAATTTTCCTGATTTTTCCTCAATTTCTTGCTTCTGTTTCTGTATGTTTCTTTTTTTTTTTTTTCCATTTAATGGTAAAACAAATTGATTCAGCTTGAATCATTCAAGTTGGCTTTGATTCCTTTTTTAAAGTACACAATTTGCTAATCACACTGTTGTTAAGACGCAAGTTGGGTTTTATTAATTAATTAGACATGCAATTGGACCTCAAATACTCATAAAAGCTTCTGCTTTTGGTGTCTTTTTAGCCCATTTTTAGTAAATTGAATTTTTTTTTTTTGAAAAGAAATATGCATCTGTAATCATATATATTTGTGAAATCACTTGTTAGGCTAAAAGGTTTAATATTTTTTTTCTTAATAGGTATGTCAACTACCCCGTCATCTCCATTCGAAGGTTCGTCTACAAGTCCAATCCCGATGGATAATTTAATTGATGATATGGATGCTGCTGCGATTGAAAATGAAGATATTTCTCTCCAAGAAGGCCAAGAAGGCCAAGAAGAAGAAGCCGTCCGCGAGGAAAAAAGTGCAGATGCTCCATTCCAAAGAAAAAAACGGAAAAAAACTGCTAAATGCTGGAAAGAGATGACAACTTATGCCGACATAAAAGGTGTTCAGATTGCCGAGTGCAACTACTGCAATGAAAAGTTACGAGTGAACAAGACCAGCACCACAACTCAGTTTAACAGACATCTGAATTCCTGTTTGCAAAGAAAAATTAAGCTCGGCCAAAATCCCAATTTGAAGCAACAGGTTCTAGCGTTTTCACAGTCTGAGGAAGGTAGTTCACTTAATAATTTTGTGTATGATCATGCTAGAGTTCGGGAACTTGCTGCACACATGCTTTTAGTTCATGAATATCCATTTGCCATGATGGAACATGCCATTTTCAATAAATTCATGAAAGCCTGTTCACCATTTTATCAAAAAATAAGTCGTAACTCTGTGAAGCAAGATTGTCGGTCCACTTATGAAGTTGAAAAGAAAAGAATTAAGACATTATTGCATAAGGTGAACAAGATAAGCATCACTACTGATTTGTGGAAGAGTGGGCAGAATATTCAGTATATGGTTGTGACTGGGCATTTTATTGATTCTAACTGGATGCTTCAAAAACGTGTATTGAGCTTTAAAAATATTCCACCACCACATACCGGAATCATTGTTGCTGATGGTCTTAGTAAATCTCTTCTTGATTGGGGTATTGAGGATAAGTTGGCTTCTATCACTGTTGATAATGCTGCTTATAATGATGTTTGTATTAGAAGATTAAAAGGTGATCTTTTGTTGAGAAAATGTTTGCCGTTGGATGGAAAATTGTTTCATGTTAGATGTTGTGCTCATATTTTGAATTTGCTTGTTCAAGATGGACTTGGTCATATTGAGGATGTTATTGAAGTTGTTAGGAAAGGCATTAAGTACATTAGGAGTTCAGAGGCTCGTTGTAATGATTTTTCCAAAATTGTGAAACAAATTCACTTACCTTGCAAGAAATTGATCCTTGATTGTCCAACTAGATGGAATGGAACTTATTTGATGTTGGCTGCTGCTTTAGAAGTTAAGGATGTCTTTTCACGTTATCGAGATATTGATCCTGGTTTTAATTATGTGCCTGATGCTTATGATTGGATGAAGGTTGAAGGAGTGACTCAATTTTTGGGTGTTTTTCATGAAATTACTAATTTGATATCGGGTTCTGAGTATCCAACAGCTAATTTATTTCTCCCTGAACTTTATCGAATAAAAGAGCTCTTAAATGAGAAGTTACTTGATAGTTCTTCGAATATAAGAGCTATGGCACAAGCGATGACTTCCAAGTTTGATAAATATTGGGGAGAATGTAATTTGTTGTTCTCTTTTAGTGCCATTTTGGATCCTCGATACAAGATGAAGCTAATTGAATTTTCTTTTCCCGTACTTTACCAAGAAGCATCTGATGTGAACATTGAGTTGGTTAAGAAAGAGTTATATGAGCTTTATGAAACTTATGTCACTGCTCATAATGACCTTCAACTTGACAAAGAGCGAAACGTGAATAAGAGAACTAGACCCGATAATATTCACGTTGGTAATAACAGCAATGAAGTAATTGGGAGAACTGTTGTTACTGGAAAGTCCAAGTTTGACTCATTTGTTAGGCAAGGGGGGGAAAAAGTGAAGTCTCACAAATCTGATTTGGATATTTACCTTGAAGAAGATGTTTTAATTTGTGATTCAACTGCTCAGTTTAATGTTATTGAGTGGTGGATGGTAAATCAGATTAAGTATCCTCGATTATCTAAGATGGCGGCCGATGTATTAGCTATTCCTATTACGACGGTAGCTTCCGAGTCCACTTTCAGTGCCGGCGGTAGAGTCATTGATAATCGTCGTGCGTCTATGTCAGTTGAGACTGTTGAAATGCTTTTATGTGCATCTGATTGGGTACGTAATATCCATGGACTCAAAAATCGTCATAATCGGGTTAGTATTGTTAATATAACATGTTATATATAATTATTTGAATATTATTATCATGTGTTCTATGTTCACTTTCTTTCTTTTGTTTTAGGATCCTGAAGAAGATCTTCATTTTGAAGAAGTTGAATTGCTTTAAGACAGTGCTCCATATTGTTGCTGCCAGTGCCAGGTTAACTTGTGTGAAATTGTTTTATGTGCATTTGAATAATATTATCTTATGCACATGTTGCTGACACTGACAGGTTCAAATTTTCATCAAATAGACATCTAAATTGTTTGCAAGAATGCCATGAAATGTGGAAATGGCTGCTGCCATATTTTTTTTTTGTCTGCTGCCATATCTTTTTTATGTAACAGGTTACTTGGTTTGGTAAATTGTTGCCTTATCTTTTTCTTTGGCTTGCTACCATATCTTTTTTTCTTTTTTGTCTGCTGCCATACAAACTTTCTATTATACACTTGTATTTTATGTTGATTGTCTTGGCTTGTCTTTTATGTTAATTGTAGGAATTCCCGGAAATGAGATCATGAGCCGACGGTGGTTGATCAAATCTGAAGTTGCTTTATTGTTTTGGACTTTGTTCTTGAATGTTATGTACTGGATGTTTATTAAGATTTACGAATTTGGATGTTTATTAAGAACTGTAATGTGCTGGAATTCAACTTATTTTTATTTGCACTTCTATATTTTGGTAATCGCTATTTTAGTCCTGTTCAGGTATTTTACTTTCTAAATTTTGATTGATTGCCACTGTTCATATATAATACCAGGTAAGTTTTGATAATCGAACTATTCGAACAAGTCGAGCTAATCGAACGCTCGAAAAGTTCAAAAAATATCGATTAGTTAAACGAGCCGAACACGAACGAACACGAACTTAACGAACAATTAAACGAACGAAAACGAACAAAAATTTAGGCTCGACTAATAAACGAACGAACTCGAACATGTTCGAATATCAGTCGAACTCGAGCTCGAACAGCCCAAGCTCGGTTCGGTTCGGTTCGTTTGCAGCACTAATCATGGCTGCTTTTCTGCTTACACTTACTACACATACGCAGTGGCTTCTTGCTTCGTTCAATAGCCTTTTCCTTCCTAGATTTCAATCTACTTCCACTACCCTTATTTTTCACTGGGGCCGGGGTTAGCACATTAACTTCGCTTGGCAGGGAGCTCCATAATACTTCTGAAATAAACATTTTTTCATCTCAAGATCTGTCTGTTTTCCTTCAACTGACAAAATCATATCTTTCTGATCTTTTAAGCAACGTAGTAACCCGGTCATTAACTCCATATTACCTTCAACCATACCAACACATGAGTAAAATTCTGAAAAAATTTGGTTAGTGATGGATTTACGCTCCTCGATAGCAACACATTGGTCAATTACCTCACCATCCACAATGAATATGGGGTTCAGTGATGCAAGCTTTGTCCAACGACTAACTATATATTTTTCAGGAATGCTTTCAAGCTTCAAATCTTTGAACACAAAAAATATGTGGCTGCATAATCTACCAATTCTTGTAAAAAGTTTACAAGTACATGTCGTTGTGTTCTCATCTCTCTCATAAACGACTTTAGAAGTTCCACTAAGACCATCATCAATCTCGTAGACCGATGTTCTCTCGCCAACTACAACACTGCATACTCGACAGTTAAAACAAGCAGCAACAATATCATTTTGTACATGCCCAAATATTGTTGACGTGTACACTTCACCAGCATGTCTTTCAATCAATAAAGGCGTCTTGAACTGATGTGCATATGACTCATTTCCCATGTTCATCTGATCCTGCACATGCCTCTGGGCATCCAATGCACTATCGAAATGCATAAAAAACTCAAGCAAATTAGCATATGGGTTTGAATACTTTCCAAAGAAGCTATTCTCGCTCTCAGACATAGATGTTGTCCTGAATAATCCACTCATTGGAAAGTTTCTGAAAAATGCAGGGATTCAAAAATGTCGAATGTCAAACATTGATTTAAACCAAGCATTATCTTTGAGATCATACTCATCCATCAACGCATCCCACCCGGCCTCAAAATCTGATGGTTCGTCTTTCTCTGACCAAACCAAATTATCTAGTTTCTTCCTAAAGTCGTCATCTTTTTTTAAATCAGACGGTACCTTATCTGAAACTTTCAGCATAATATGCCACATACAAAGCCGGTGCTTAGATCCTGGAAATGATCGTTCAACAGCAATTTTAAGTGCTGGATCTTGATCCGTCACAATAATGCGAGGAGTGCATCCCATTGCCTCTTTGAACTTCTCCAACAACCAAGAATACGATTCAACGTCTTCTCTTGTCAATAATCCAGCACCAAGGGTCACACATTTACCATGATTATCCTTTCCAGTGAAAGGCGCAAATATCATGTTGTACCTGCAAATACACATTTATTGTTAAACAAAATAGCTAAAAAACATGCAAATATACATGAAAATTGAAGAAAACAAACACACTTTGAATAATGTTGATTCATACTAAAATTATTAACTGTTATTCTACCTAAAATTCACGTGTCTGATGCTAAAAAGACATGAATGTGTGTGTTGAACTATAATATTTATAATACCCACAAAACTAAAAAATTTAAAGGCATAGAAAAAAAATCAAATTTTAAATTAGCAATATACAGAATATATCTTAGCAGCAAAAAAGGCACATTAAAATTCTTTTGGTATAAAAAATAGTCTTTACACCACATGAGTGATTATTCACAATAATTTTTATATGGTGCCTACATCACCCTATTTTCGGTATCAATAATATATTATAAATCCATTTGCAAATATTACCATGCTTTAAACTATTTCTTAAAATTCAAAACAATAACTTCCAAGAACATGTGTTATTGTTGAATCACATTCTGTTAAACATAGCATCATACTTTGTACAACATAGCACACATATGCTGCTAAAAAAATGTCTTTGTTGAAATAAGCCTAAACTAAAACTGTATGCATGTTTAAACTTGTAATAGAATATAATAACATAACATAAACTAATACCTGTTGGTTGAGTATGTAGCGTCAAATGAAATAACGTCGCCGAAAGAGGCATAGTTCTTTCTTGAAATTGGATCAGCCCAAAATAATCGCGTCAATTTATCTTCTTTGTCAACATCATACTCAAAGAAAAAGGCAGAACATAGTTCCCGCTTCCTAAATAATTTTCCTAACACCATCTGGGCATCAACCCCTATAGCATAAGCTTTCAAATCTCTTGAAAATTTTTTAAAATCAACGCTAGTGCATCCAACATTTGAATATCCACCCACGACTTCTTTAAATAACTTGTACGACTGCATAGGTCCAATATTTGCTCTGGCGCAGTTCAATATAAAATTTTGGTGACCGGCATCCATATTTCTGCTCACTCCCATAAGATGTTTATGGTTTTGAGAAGCTAAAGGATGAGAATGGTACTCAACAAACTTATCAACAACGTACCCTTTTTGGCCAGCAAACTTCGTAATCAATTTAGCTTCACAGTTAATACGCTTCGAAACTCTTCTTCGTTTCTTTATGCTGCCACTATCTCCATCTGTATAGTCACGTGAATAGTTCTTCTCACCCTCCCTCGAGCATACGATATAGCTTCTAATTAAGAACCCGTCCGACGACTTTTTCTTAGTTGAACGACGAATATCAAATCCACACTCAGCTGCGTATTGCCTATAAAATTCATAAGCATCATCAAAACGCTGAAACGTTGCCCAATAAAGGGCTTCAATTCAGGTTTGCAATTTGGTACGAAACGCGGACGCTCATCGATGGACAATTCAACTCGAACATTGCCACTTCCAAGATCGCCTGTATTTCAGACACAACAGAAAATTCCCAGCATTGCATCAATTTAATTTTTGACACAGGGCCCACCAAATAAAATCTTCTTCAAGAAGGGAAATGAATTTTTTTACTAAAATTAAACAAAAACAATAGTAGTGAATTTTTGTAAATAAAAAATCATAAATAATGGAGATATGGAACTTACATGTTGATCCCATGTTTGAATTAATATTCAGGCGTTGATGATAAAAGTTCTACAAAGTGGTCCTTTTCCTGTAAATGAAAAGTTCTACAAAGTGATCCTTTTTCTGTGAATGAGTTAAAAATACGTAAATCAACTAAAGTGGATGATTATGATAAAAAAAGGAAGCTGAGTAATTCTTACCATTTGAACAAAAGATCCAAATCATTTCCCTAATTAATAACAATGGTTTTGACGATAATAGACATACATAATTAATCATTATATTTTACAAGAATATATTAAATAATCATGACCGTTAATAATTATGTAATCAAAGGACAGGATGAGTTCCTAGTTCTTACACTAGGGGTGGGTTCTCATTTGAACCTCATCCTATATATATATATGTATATATATTTATCAATCAACTTCTTTTGGCCCCTGCTAAATAGCAACCTCGAGGAGAAAGGGTATCACAAGAGATGACCTGGCCAAAAAAATCCCCAACAAGGCCAAAGCCAACAGGCTCCTCTAATAGCCAACAATGCCATTGTCGAAGGATCTATTTTCAACTCATACCCATTGACATTTTTCTGATTCAATACCGATTTTAGTATATAATTCTCTTGCTACTATTTGTTCTTCTAATGTAAAAATGACTTATGAGATATTAGAAGTAGAATGAAATCCAACTCAACGTCAAAATTTCATTTTACTTACAATACAATACAGTTGAAATATAAAAGTCGTACAATATTAAAATATAAATAACATACAATTTAAAAACAATTGTTAGGTTTGGTCACACAATAGATTGGCTTTAAAATTGCATTGTAACAAATATTAGAGTTTCTAAGAGCATCCACAATGCTTTGGGTTCAATCACAAAAAATTACATGCCACATAAGAAATAGACCTAGTCTACAAAAATATATTCTCCAAATGCAAATAAAAGTAGGCTGGGTCCTGCTGATGTGGCAGCCAGAAAAAGAGACTCGGTCTCTTCTTAAGTCTAGTTTAGACCCAAGTAGAGACCTAGTCTCTTTGCATTGATTGGAGTGAATTTTATTAATTTTACATAATTTTATCCATGTCATCTAAGACTTGAGTTTATTTACTTGCCACATAGGCAAAACTAGACCCAATGCATTGAAGATGTACTAAGGGCTCGAGCTCGGCGAATCCGAGCTGAACAGCTTGGACTCAAGCCTTAATGAGCCGAGTCGTGCCAAACTAATTTAACAACACTAATCTACTCTTTCATTCCAACCCGACCCACATTCAAAGGCGCATGTGGTGAAACTTCTCCAATCTACTATATAACCCGACCCGATTTGTTTCCAATAACCTTTCTTTCTCTCCCCAACCCTACTTACTGAAATCCAACTCTCCACATCCAAGACTCGCCATTATACAGACGTACACTCCTCTCCATAGTTTCTTGTTCATCATCTCTCATCCGATCGTTAGAGGTGAGTCTCATCTGATGATTATGTTTGTGTTTCTTATGTGATGGCTGATATTTGCTTATCAATTCGTTTTAGTTTATTTTGAAGAAGAAAAAAAAATCATTCGGATTTGTCTTTGCTTGCCTGCTGTGGTTTTTGCAGGATTTTAAAAAAAAAAAAAAAAACTGTGGGAGTTAATTCATTAGTCGAAATAACGGGAAGGATATAGTCTGATGGGGAGAAAGAAGCCAAACGCCCGTGACGATGAGAGCGGCCCGGCGGTGGCAGCTGCAGGAGGTAAATCGAAGAAGAAGGGTTTTGTAATTGCAGATGATGAGTATTCTATTGGAACTGAAATCTCGGAGGATGCTGTTGTACCCAAAGAGAGTGTGGCGCTGCCCGTTGGCAACAAAAAGAAGGGAAAGAAAGGAGTTACCAAAAAAACAGCTCCAAAGGACGAGGATGAAGATGTGAACGGTAATGAGGTCAGGGAAGAGGAAGCGGATGAGGAAGATGTTCCTGCGATCAAGTTTGCTGGGAAAAAGAAGGCTAAGGGGAAGAAGGGCAGCATGTTTAGTGCTTCAGCATTTGGATTATTGGGAGATGATGAAGATGGGGATGATGATGAGGCGAAGGATAATGGTGACGAGGATGAAGAAGCAGATGAGCCGGTGATTGAATTTTCTGGAAAGAAGAAGCCTTCAAAGAGTAAGAAGGGCAGTGGCGGTGGATCGTCTGCGTTTGAGTTGCTCGACAATGATGAGGATGAAGAGGGTAGGGACAAAGAGGAGAGTTCTAAGGAGGAAGAAGAAGATGCTGGCATTACATTTACGGGTAAGAAGAAGAAGTCATCAAAGGGTTCGAAGAAGGTTTCTGGCAACTCTTTTGCGGCTGTGCTTGATGAAGAAAATGATGAGGATGCTTCCGTTTCAAAAATTGGGGATGATACGGCAGAAGGTGATGATGATGACCAGGAGCAAGTAGTTAAATTTTCGGGTAAGAAGAAGTCGTCTAAAAAGAAGAACATGACTTCTGAAAATGGGAGTGGTGATGCAACCTCTGATTCCCTTGAACCGAGCCAACACCCTGATGAACCTAAAACACAGAAGCAGACAAATGAAGCTGTTGCGGATACTTCGAAGAACAAAAGGAAGAAAAAGAAGGGTGGGAAAACTGGTCAAGAAGAAGATGACTGGGATAAAATCCTCACTGAATTTGGTGCGGGACCTCCTGATTCGAAACATGTTTCAACTTCTGTGGATGCTCCAACTGCACCCCTTCCGGAAGATAAGGTACAGAACCAGCCCGAGGTTGAAGATGAAAAAGAAGAAGATGGGCCTGCGGAGTCTGCAGCTGCAAAGAAGAAAAAAAAGAAGAAGGAAAAAGAAAAGGAGAAAAAGGCAGCAGCTGCTGCCGCTGCAGTTGAGGAAAAACAGAAAGAGACCGAAGCCGAGGAAAGTAAAATGGCTGGGAAGAAAGTTCCCAAGCATGTTAGAGAGATGCAGGAGCGACTTGCCAAACAGAGGGAAGCTGAGGAGAAGAAAAAACGGGAAGAAGAGGAGCGATTGAGGAAAGAAGAGGAGGAAAGGCTTCGGAAGGAAGAGGAGGAAAGGATAGCAGAAGAGAAAAAGCGGTTAAAGAAAGAAAGAGAGAAGGAGAAGCTTTTGAAGAAAAAGCAAGAAGGGAAGCTTCTCACTGGGAAGCAGAAGGAAGAAGCTCGTAGGCTAGAGTCAATGAGGAAGCAAATACTAGCTAATGCTAACTTGGAAATATCCACAGGAGAAACTGTTGGGGCACCTGCTAAACGACCTCTATATCAGAAGAAAAAGCAAAAGCCAGTAGCTCAATCGAATGGAGCAGCCACATCAGACAGTGTTGAAAGTGCAGTTCCAGAGGAGAATCAGCAAGAAGCTGTATCCAGACTGGATTCTGTGGAAAGTGAGAATGTCGAGGATGTTGCTTCAGCGACTGTAAAGGATAAAAATTACGATTCTGCTGTAGTTCAAGAAAATGTAGTGGATGAGGAGGAAGAAGAAGATGATGACGAAGAATGGGATGCTAAAAGCTGGGATGATGCTGATCTGAAATTGCTAGGAAAAAGTGCATTTGCTGATGAAGAAGTTGACTCGGAGCCTGAACCTTTGCCCAAGAAAGAGATAAAGAGTGGACGTACTTCAACTCGAGATGTTGAGGTACCGCACGTTGCAGCCAAGACAGTTGGTACAAGTGCCAATGTTGCTTCAGTGATTCCACAGAGATCTGAGAATGTGGACATTAGAAAAAAGAACTCTGAGGCTGAGGATGCCCACAGGAACAATAATAAGGTTCGTGTTCCTGAGAAGGACAAAAAAGAAGTTCTTGACAAGAGAGAGGAACGTCAAAAGTCGGATAATCAGCCTGCCCCGAGTGAGCAGAATTTGCGGTCCCCAATTTGCTGTATCATGGGCCATGTTGATACTGGTAAGACAAAATTGCTTGATTGCATAAGAGGTACTAATGTCCAAGAAGGTGAGGCTGGTGGGATTACACAGCAAATTGGAGCAACCTATTTCCCTGCTGAGAACATTCGTGAGAGAACGAAGGAACTCAAAGCTGATGCAAGACTGAATGTCCCAGGTCTATTGGTGATTGATACACCTGGTCATGAATCTTTTACTAATCTGCGTTCCCGAGGGTCAGGGTTATGTGATCTTGCGATTTTGGTGGTTGATATAATGCATGGGCTGGAACCACAAACCATTGAATCTCTCAATCTATTGAAGATGAGAAATACTGATTTCATAATAGCCTTGAATAAAGTAAGTCACCTTGGAGCCATCTGTTGCGTTCATGGCAATCCTTTTCTGGTAATGTAATTTTGGTTTACCTTTCTGACTTGTAGGTGGACAGATTGTATGGATGGAAAACATGTCGCAATGCACCGATACAGAAAGCAATGAAGCAACAGACAAAAGATGTTGATATTGAGTTTAATCATCGGCTTAAGGCGGTATCTTTTTTTTCTTTTTTTTTTTTTTTGAATATTAGCTTGTATGTTGAAATTTATTTGATGGAAGTTTTGCTTTTCATAGGTTAAAGATCAGTTGCAGATTCAAGGTCTAAATACTGAGTTGTATTACAAGAACAAAAACATGGGTGAAACAGTAAACATCGTCCCCACTAGTGCTATAAGGTTTTGTTGACGAAGCACTGCCTTAGACAATTTTTTATTTGTTGTTTCCTATTTCTGTTCTCTTAAGTTCTTTAAAGTCCCCCAATACTTCTCACATTTTGCTAATTATGGCCAACAGTGGTGAAGGTGTTCCTGACTTGCTGTTGGTGCTGATTCAATGGGCACAGAAGACAATGATTGAAAGACTTACATACAGCAATGAAGTGCAGGTATGCTGTCCTATTAGGTCATTGGTAGTGAGATTGTGAGGGAGGCAACCCTGTGAGATATTTTTGCTGATTTACAATGGTTTATGTTGCAGTGTACTGTCTTGGAGGTGAAAGTTATTGAAGGACATGGGACAACAATTGATGTGGTTCTGGTGAATGGCGTGCTTCATGAAGGAGATCAAATAGTTGTTTGTGGCTTGCAGGCATGTTTTCTACAACTCATTTATTTTTTATTTGTGAAAGGACGATAATCATGCTCATCCTGCTTTAAATCTCTTATAGGGACCAATTGTGACCACAATTAGAGCCTTATTAACACCACATCCGATGAAGGAGCTCCGAGTCAAGGTAAAACATTAAGATCATACTAATAGGTTCGGTCATCCATGTATGTATTTTTCGTTAATATATGTTTCTTTTGATCAATTTCATTCCTGGTTGTAATTTTATTAATGTAATTACTTGGATTTAGACATGAGTTATTAGAAAGGAGCCTCCCTCTCGTTCCCTCCCTTCCATTGCTGGTAGTGAAGGGTGGGTGGATTGGGGGTTACTGTGAACACTTGCTAAGATTTCTGGAGCCCCGTTTTTTCTGTTATAAGGATTTTTTTGAGGAACATTGCATGAATTTGCTTTTGACCTATCGTGTTCGTCTTGCTGGAAGCCAATGGTTAACAAAGATAGTTGATTTTGAAAAATGCTTTAATATGGATATTTAAATCATTTTATATGCAACATCCTATCCTGTTGTGATGCAAACTATAACATACTTCTGGAATTGATCTCATTAAATTACTCTTACGTAGCCTTACATTCTTTCTGTGTAATGCCTCATGCTTTTGCCATTTTCATTTTTCAGGGGTCTTATTTGCATCATAAAGAAATCAAGGCTGCTCAGGGTATCAAGATCACAGCCCAGGTGACCCTTTGCCGTTGATTATGCCTTTATTGTCCTTACGAAGGCATGACCGTAATATTGCCAATGTAGACACGATCACATGATATCTTTAATTACTAAATAAACGGCAAGTTAATGCACTGCCACCATGCTATAATAGGTTGCCCTTGATTGTGATGTACGATTGACTGCAGGTATAGGATAATATAACAGAAAAATGTCTTGTTCAGGAATGAAATATTCAATACTATTTGGAACTGTTTCCAGCACATTTTATAGACCTCATAGAAGTGTTTAGTATTAGGACTTCCGTGAAATTTTTGTTTCCGTTGTGAATTATGTTGATGCCATGTTTTCTGACTAAGAAATTGTATTAAATTATTAGGATGTATAACGTTGTTTTTCAGTTGTCTTGTCTGGTAATTTTGCTTCAGTGTAAGAGCTGGTGCCTATGTTTTTCTTATGTTTGTAGGGCCTTGAGCATACGATTGCAGGGACCAGTCTTTATGTTGTGGGGCCACATGATGATTTGGAAGACATCAAAGAAGCAGCTATGGAAGATATGAAGTCAGTAATGAGTAGAATCGACAAAAGTGGTGAGGGGGTCTATGTTCAAGCTTCTACTCTTGGGTCGTTAGAAGCATTGCTGGAGTTCTTGAAGACTCCGGTAGTTAATATACCTGTCAGTGGCATAAGCATAGGGCCAGTACACAAGAAAGATGTAATGAAGGCGAGTGTGATGCTTGAGAAGAAAAAGGAATATGGGACAATATTGGCTTTTGATGTTAAAGTAACCCAAGAAGCTCGGGAGCTCGCTGATGAGCTTGGTGTAAAGATATTTATTGCGGACATTATTTACCACCTATTCGATCAATTTAAGGCTTACATTGATAATCTCAAGGAAGAGAGGAAGAAAGAGGCTTCTGAGGAAGCAGTTTTCCCATGTGTCCTCAAGATAATGCCAAACTGTGTGTTCAACAAGAAGGATCCCATTGTCTTAGGAGTTGATGTCCTTGAAGGCACAGTGAAGGTAATATGTTTTCTTAATCTCTGTACGTGGATGTCCGTTGCATGGTTTTAACAATGGATATAATTTATTGGTGGTTGGCATCATAAGTTGCGTATGTTTGGATTCACTTAGGATGGCTTCATTTCCAAAAACAAAACTAATTTGAATCATATCCTCCACTGCATTTCCATCCTGGTGCAGTGTAGTTTCTAATATTTCTTGAGAGTACGTCAAAACACCACCAAATTCAAGTTTTCTTTTATTAGGTAAGTGATATAACTGTTGACATTGTGTAATGTTGAATATTAGGTGGTGACATAAGTGTTTCTTTTGGTGATATGTTGAGTCACAAAAACCATGTATACAAGGATGCTTTTGTTCCAATGTTGTATACTGCTTCCCTCCGTGTCTCTTGTATGTTACCATGTTCATGGCATGTGTGGGCATCTTTATATTGAGGAGTATAGAATTTCTACTTCTTGCCTCTATCAGATTTACTTCTTGCCTCTATCAGATTTATGTTTCCTTTCTACTGAACTGTTATTTTTTAACCCATCGTACAGGTTGGGACTCCTATATGTGTTCCTCAAAAAGATTTCATTGAAATTGGTCGGATAGCTTCCATTGAGAATAATCACAAGCCTGTTGATTATGCCAAGAAGGGCCAGAAAGTGGCAATTAAGGTATATATATGACTTTTTTTTATACCTTTTTTTTTATTTGCAAAAAAAAAGGTATATATATATGACTTGTTTTGTGATGCTTGGTTGCCAAACTGCTTGTTCTTTATACTGTAGAAGATACGTTGAATTAAATGCCAATGAGTTACTTTTACAATCTCAGAAAAGATTTTCGAACATAGTTTACTCTTCTTAGATGAATGAACATCTGTTGACTCCATCTTTCCATGTGCAACCACGGACAGTGGATTCCACATGTTAAGATAATTTTTCTACTGGACCTTGGAGAACGTGCTCAACTCTTATCTTCTTCTTCTTACTGTTTAGAATATCAAAGCATGGGATAAATACATCATTTTATGTTAGAACCTTGATTTAGGGTGAGTCGTCAATTGAACAGTGTGAATAGTGAAATTTTGAAGAATGTCTTTAATTGTAGAAGACCCGAAAGGAAGGATAATATCAGTTGTGTCAGTCATCAATTTATACATATGTAAGAACATCCACCCTCCTTGTTATTACTCTGTTACCGATAGAAATTTATTCGTGCACAATGGCTCATTTCATTATTTATTCTATTTCTTGTTGTGTTGTCTTTTTTTAACATAGATGTGCTATTTTTCCTCATAGATTATTGGCAGCAATCCTGAGGAACAACAGAAGATGTTCGGCAGGCATTTCGAGATGGAGGATGAGCTCGTGAGCAAAATCAGTAGAAGCTCACTTGACGCTCTCAAAGAAAATTACAAGGTTTGTCTATTTATAGTTCCTGCATCTCATTGCTCACCATAAAACATAAATACATAATATGAAAACCGCACCTGGTGATATTTCGCCTAATTGCGAAAGGTGTGTTTTATATTTGTTTTGCATATCACCGATCAGAAATTGAAACATATATTTATGGATTTATATATGAGCTTTTCAGAAGATCACTAGATTCTTCCTCTCACTCGAACTATTTCTCATTACTCCCTTCACCACGTCGTTTGATGGAGAAGGCTATTGTTTAAACTTACTCCTTTCAATTGAATTGAAATATGTACAGGATGATTTGTCTACTGAAGAGAAAAGGCTATTGTTTAAACTGAAAAAGCTCTTCAAGATAACGTGAGTTCTCCAGAACTGGACTTTGTGCAATCAATATTTGTTTGGTGGGATTTTTTGCGGGTATCAAATGTCCGACAGGCGGAATATGAGATGTCTGAGAGGCCATACACTGAACTGAGTGGAGTTGATTCTTTCTGTTATGTCGTCAATGATTGTTGAGGTTTTCTAATCATAGTATTGAGCCAAAGGTCACACCTAGTGTTTCTGTACAATTAGGCAAATCCTTCTGGTTGTATGCTTAATTTCATTTACGTTTGCAAAACTAAAGGACCTTTGATGAGATGCGCCGAAGGGAAAATTTTTGTGGGGAGTATGTAACTGGCTGGGAGAGTTTAACTGTATTTCTCATCTAAATAAATAGATAAGTCTGGGTTTTTTCAACAGTTTCAGCAGTGTTGTGATGTACTGATCCATTAGTCTAGTTCAGATTGTATTTCATCAAAATTTGAATTTTTAGGTTGCAAAATTGAAATTCTTGAAAATTTCCATGTTGCAAATTATAATCTTTTTTCATGAATTTTAAATTGTATTTAATCGAGAAGTAAACTGTGGATATAAATTTGGGAAAAAGGAAAATGNAAATTTTCCTCCTTTCTTCCCCTGTAAGTAGTACCCACTAGGCCACTACCCAGGGATTGGATACTATCATTAGAATTTATTAATAATTAGGTACTCAAAATGAAAATTTTCAAATTTTTTTAATTATTCTATTCCAAAGTCGCCAAACTTATTATATAATCTTATGTTTGAAGTTTTGAATAAAATTTAAAATTTTTTAAAATGTCAAATAGTTAATGACTTTTTAAAATTTTAATTGAATAACGCAAAATTTTTATACAAAATTTTATTGTGCAAGTTAAATGCACCACCATTTTTAAAATACTAGTGTATGGCCCGTGCGATGCACGGGAAAACAATATTTTGATTCTATTATAAATTAAATAAATAAATAACATTAATCATGATTTACCCATTATTTTTTAAATTAAACCGGGATGGACCAAGAACCGGTTTATAATTAGTCTATTGCGCTTGAATAAAATATTTGCTATCGAATCCGTCAACATCAGTATGTTGGACTGATAGGATCGATACGATTTTCTAAACAAATTTTGTTACATTATAAATTATTTTAAATAAAATTACATATTTAAATTAAATAGAGATTTATAAATTATTTATCAATTAGTTTAAACATTTGAATTTATAAATTGTTTAGATATTTAAGTTATACTTTTTATTTAAATTTATTACATAAAGTACTATATATATATATATATATATTAAAGTATTATGTATTAAAATCTGAACAACCACAAATAATTTAATAAAATAACTTGATCGTTTCGATGACGGTCCGATTCTGAAAACCTTGTATTTACCGTACATTAATAAAAATAATAATAAAATAATTATTTTGTTCACATAAATAATAATAAAATGATATATAAATATTCATAAATCATTTATCATGTTGTCGTAAAATTATTGTTAATATGATTACTTGAAGTTTGGACTACATAATAAAGTATTTTCAATATTATTTAGGTTCAATAATCGATTTGGTCTAGTCAAACTGATACATAACTTAGTTCTGGGATCAACCAAGTTATGTCAAGTTTTTTGACTATTTTAAATATCACATAAAAGTAATTCAATCAACGTGGGCAGTACCCTAATTCACTCACCCAATTGATCCAAAGTAATTTCATTATTTTCTTTAAATATAATATTTAATTTTATGAAATAATTTTTTTTTATGATTCATATGTCTACACCAAATGATAGTATATTAAGATTATAAATTATATATCTAAAGATGAATGATTTATTTTTATTTTATGCATATTAATAAAAAATAAACATAGTAATTTAAAAAAAAAATCAAGATTAATTGATTGGGTATGCAATTTAAAAAATGATTTTAGCGTGCAATATATATATATAGGATGTGGTTCAAATGAGAACCAAGTCCTAGCGTGAGAACCGTGAGAACCGCTATTTTTAATTGTATGTAGTGCTATGGTTGATTGTATTTAGTGCTATTTTTAATCAGGATGTATTTTATTAAAAATAGCAACACAATTTATGTTAGCATTTGTAAAAATGATAGCACCATGTAAGATTAAAAATAACATCATACACAATTAAAATAGCATCAAATATGGTTCTCACGGTTCTCACACCAGAAATTTTATTTGAACCACTTTATATATATATATATAACATGATTGAATTTTTGGATTAGAATATATATATTTAAAATGATTTTATTATTAAAAGTCAAAAAGAAAAGATGCCATAAAGATTACAACTTTGAAAAGTTTGTAATCATTAATTTAAGAACCATCCGATTTTAAATGATTTATAATTTTTGAAACAGGATACGTCATCTAAAACCCATTAATTTAGGAACCATTCAATTTTTGATAATGAATTAAAATTAAAATGTAAAATAAAAAAATTGCTGAAAATAGTATATAATAAATGTGGGTTGACTTTTCCTTACTACTATTTATAGTAAATGTTAATTCTTATTATATATATTAGTACAGAGCCTGTGCGATGCACGAGGTGCATAATTTTAAGGCTATTTATCCAGACTTATAATTATATACATGAATAAAGAAAAATGTACGGGATATATATAGTACGTGACCCGTGCGAAGCACGAGATATATTTATTTGGAGAATATTATATTATAAGATGCAATATTCAATAAAAGTTTATAATACGCAAAAAAATTGTACAATGTTCAAATACCCGTGCGAAGCACGAGATATATTTATTTGTTTTATGATTTGATAATATAAACAAATCTATACTTAACTTTGACAAATAAAACAAATAAATACTTTAGTAAGTATTTAATGTATATACTAAATAGGAATATATTTGGTATAATCAAATACCAAATATAATCAAATAAGTCAAAGTGTACATTTTTATTTGGTATTTGATTTTTTCATTATTAAAATCTTTTTATTATACTTATCTTTTTAAAATAAAATAAATAAATCAAGTAAATAAATAAAATATTATAATACCAAAATAGTAATGACATTTAATGCAGTTGACTTTTCTGGATAATAAATGTAGTAAATAGAAATTTCTTTTATATAAGTATAGATTGTATAATACGGAAATAGTAATGCAATAAATGTTGTTGACTTTTCTTTATAAGTATTTTAATATAAGTATAGATATAGATAGATTAAAAAGTATATNTTCCAATATCCACCCATTTATTAACAGAAAAATAGAAATAACACGTAACCCAATTACAGAGATGGCGAACGACAACCGGGTCGGAGAAATCGAGGAAGAGGCGGCGGTGCCGTTGTTGCAGAAGACCTCCGAGTCCGACCCGATTCAGCCGAGGACCCGATCCGTTACCACGAAGGTTCCGGAGGCTGAGGTGCACGTGTACAAGCAAGGGAAGGGCCCGATCGACGTCATCAAAACGGGCCTAGCAGGGTGGGACCAGGACCAGCTCGAGGTGCGCGAGATCCTGGACAAGTATGGATTTAAATCGATCTACGCGTTCACGCCCGGATCGGGTCGGGGCGTGCCGATCCGGTTCAACCCGAGGAATGGCCGGTCGTTGCTCACGTACAGGGACGGTGCCGTTATTTATGTTGATGGCGAGCCCAAGGTAAATTTCAGAACTTTGTGCTTGTTTTGTTGCATTATGTGGAAATAAAGAAATATGATTCGAAATTGGTAAAATGTTGGGTATGGGATGAGTTCGTGAATTGAGTAATTTGAATTTGGATCAGTTTCAGGGGAACTAATTCGCCAGTTTTTGTATTGACTGCGGCACTTTTAGGTTTAAGTTTGTATATTGTGTGTGTTGGCCTCGTCATGAACTGAGCTGCTTTTGGTTGTTGTGAGTAACTTACCTGTGATCGAGACACATTAATCCGGTCACGTGTATTAGGAACTGAAGTTGTCATCTGGTATAATATGTGTGCTATCTAAAGAAAATTTTGCTTATTCACATTTTTTAGTGGTTCCTAATGCTTAGTTTCGAAATATGGTAATTTTTATCTATTGATGTACCACGCTATTATGCTAAAGGTGGGAAGTCTAGAATGGGCACTATTTGATTATTTTTACTTGTGGAAATCTCATGGCTTTTCTTGTTCTCCTTTTCATTTATTCCATTTGAGACCATGTTCTTCTGAAATGAGTCATAATGAGAAAATCATTGATCCTGTGGACATTTATGTTTGTATCCCTCAATACTGACAATGCTTGTTTCACATCAATTATTGTGTTCTTTTGTTTTTGGTGCATCGTATGATTTACATTTACTATATGGCATATTTGAGTGAGACAGAAAACGGCTGACTTATTTTTCTTTCTATATATATATATATATATATTTTTTTTTTTTTTTNTTTTCTATTCTTGAGTGAAATAGAAAATTGATTTTACTTTATGATGTTTGGATGACTAAGATTGACTTATTGGATTTCAAGAAATCCCAGTTAACTGAGTCAATGCTTCCATACACGTACCTGGGAACATCTCATAAATTGCCATATGGCCATGGTACATGTTATCATCCATGAAATTTTGTAGCATATATCTTGTTGGGGAAAAATGGTACACGGCACAATTATGAGAAATGCCCAGTACTAATTACTGATTACATGCAATAAACCAACATGGCCAGCCATTATATAGAAACAGTACAAGCTTGTCTTCACATTTTTCCTTGGGGCTAGAAGAGTCTTAATGAGGACACCAACCACCAATCCTTGCAAATTCATTATGCATGCATCTGCATGAAGATCTTTCTGTCCATCTCATCCTACAGTTTCCAAGTAATATTTATGTAATGGCATAAAAAATTCAGTCCGGAGTTTTGAGTTCCTGCTACACAATCCTGCAGAAGTTTTGATGGACCTGAAATATAAATTCACTTGGAGAGTCATTTATTGCCTTAATAGTCTGACTTCCCACCACTTAGCAGCATTGGATTTTCACGCTAAAGTGCTTCAGTTGGTCTTATTGCTTGTTCATTAGATTATTACTCTTGTCTGCTACATGCATTTTTATATTGTCTATTGAAGAGTTCATTAAGATGAAAATAAAAGCTGGGTGTTGCAACGCTCATGCATGGTCTAATTCTTCATCCATGTTGAAAGCTGAAAATACTTATCGGATGCTCCTAGAGAGATAACCAATCGAGTAACCAGACTGCCTGAAGTAGTCAAACTGAATCTATCACACATTCAATTAAAATTATGCAATGCAATTTACATTAACATTAAAGTGTCTCAAAAGATCCTGAGGTTTATGAGTCATCTGGAAGGACTAGTGGCAGGTCATGGTTCATGCACATTACTATTTCTCATCAGTATCCGAACACTTATCCCATATCTGGACAGGCATAGGTTGTCTTGTTGCACAAGTTTGTAAAATGCATTCAATGAATCATAGAATTGTTGGTGTTTTTT